TCTCAGCTCCAGGAGCTGAAAGCGAAAGTCACAATCAAGAAAGACTGGTGTCTAGAAAAGATCTAAGATCTTTATACCGTTCACTAAATCCTGAATGCTTTTAATAAGCATGATCACAAAGGTAGTTCCTGAGAAATGAAGGGTGCCTCTTATAGGCTTATAGTCTGTTTCACAGTGGTCTCTGACAGAGATGGTCATGTGAGATACAGTACATGTATGAATTCTCTTCAATGGCTTCTTCAGCTTCTCTCCTTAAGCTTAGCATAGTTTAAAGGGCTTTTAATGACAAATTGCACAATATACAGTGGGGTCCAAAAGTCTAAGACCACCAAAAATATTTTTTATTTTATTATTATTTTATTTAGATTTTGACATAAACTGAAAATTTCAGGATTGAAAAAAATGTAAACCAGGAAATGAAGCAAAAATATTTAAGGTTGTACACAATTTTTAGGTCACTAATCAAAAGTAAAATTTGATCATGGGAACTCATTTTTACAAAAGATTTTCTTCCATTAAAGCCTAAGATGCTCTTTGAAACTTCCTCAAATCATGCTTGATTACATGGATCATCTGTAAAAAAAATCTGGAGATGTTTTGGACAAACTGGAATTCTGTATGATGGATTTAATATAGTATTAATGTGTTTACCGTATTTAAATTCATTAAAGCAGTGGTTCTCAACCAGGGTGCCTCAGCAAACTTCCAAGGGGGTCTCAAGAGGACTTAAAATTATTTCAAATAAGACAAAACTAACATCAAAACATGATAAAACTACTAAAATTTGAGGAAACATCTTTTTTTCTTTGAAGAACCAGGGTTGGTTCTGCCTTAAAATCATGGATGCTGTACATAAGGTAGCCTAATTTTACAAGTGATTTCTAGACCTGGAAAAGTAACAAATAAATAAAATCTTATAACTCCTTGCCCATTTTTATAATGAATATACATTTTTTTTTTAGTTATGAATTTTTTTATCTTAATCTTTATCCAGTAATTCACAAACAACTGGAAAAATTTGCCAGTTTATTAGAAAATTATTGAATATTAGAATGTTAGAAAAGAAGACATTTAGAACCCACTGTACATGGTTACCAATGTCACAAAATATACAAATATCTTTATTTTTTCATTCATTCTCAAATGAAGGTCTGCATTCGACAAAGGAAATGAAGAGCACATTTAAGATTACTCGTACAATACTCTTGATCACCAAAGCAATGCATTTTGAGACTAGATAATTCTTAATTACTTTGCGTGTAAATCTGCATCTACCTGGGTATCCAGCTTGCTGAGCTACCTCGTTAAACAGGTTACTAGCCTTCCAGTGCAGTGACCAATCCATTAGCAGAGCAGCTGTATTTGCGCATAAATTTAAAAAAGCACTTTTTAGCATTTGCAATAAAACATATTACCCTTTAAATTTCTACATTATGACAGAGACCAGTTGAGGAAGCCATTTATACCGTTTTCAGACATGGTCAGCGACAGCCATTTAGTTCACTATCCTACAAATAGTTCAGAACCATGGAATATATATAAATCTATATACATATTCATATACAGGAATGCCCCACTCTTTTCCATGGTGCTTTTGTAGTGGGGTCATTGTTTGCACTGCATTCCAGTATTCTATCTTAGATTACCCTCATAATCAATATGTAATCTCTCATTTGCACACTAGGCTAGAGCGTTCTCTCTCTATGTTTTGAATATTACGGAAAATCATATTTTTTAGTGTCATATTTCTGTAACTGGACCAAAGGTTCAACGTTAGAGTATCAGTCTTTATTTGGGTGATATTCACCTCAACGAACAAGAAAATATGCAGATTTGTTTGTTATCGTTGTTTGCAAATTTATTCGGTCGTGAGTGACCTAGAGTTTTTCCTTCTTTTTTTTTGAGGGTTGGGAACAGCAGAGAAGGTCTTAAACTGATCCAGCCTTAGGTATCCAAACTCACCCTCACTGATCTAAGATCAGGCTGCTATCACATTCGTCTTAAAGATTACAAAGATCAAATTGGAACTAATTTAAAGTCAAAGATCTGAGGTGCATCCCAAATCGCGTACTTATGCACTATTCTATGACGTTTTGTAGTATAAATAGTGCGAGTAGTGTGCTCACACTGAAAATTCCAAAAAGAAAAAGTGCACTTTAAATACCCGGATGATGCACTTAAATAACCGAAATAACGAAGTGTGGAATGTTGAACACTTCATACACTCAACTGTCGCAGCTTTAATTACTTAGCCCCTCCCCCTTCACTATCAGACTCCGTTTATGAATGACAAACTAACCTTATATAATTCATACACTACATGGTTGAGTACATAGTGCATAAGTACATAGTGTATAATTGCATAGTGTATAGTGCGTCATTTGGGATGCAGCTCTGGAGTGGTTTTTAACGCCACGCGACCCAGAGGAGCAAAGCGCTAGTAGGACTTTCATGTGAAGTTTGAGATCAGAGAGTCTTTCACTCACTTATTCACACAGACACACACCAGATATTTGTGCCAAACAAACGACCAACTTGAAGTATTTTTCGCCAATTAAGAAAAACTACCTTACGGGGACCAGAGTTGGTCTTTGGCTATGAACTGTCTTCAACGGGTTTTGAAGTATGCCATTATCAAAGCAATGATGACAATGGAGAAACACGAGGATGAAGACAATCCATCGGAACAGTGAGGCACTCACTCTCTGCGACTAGTTTTCGTCTTCGTCCACATTTCCAACGAGCCTTGTAAATACTTTCCCATGTGTAATTCCAACTTCAAGTATTATTTTACATCATCCAATGTGATGCACTCTTGAAATGCAGTATTGTTTTTTTTCAATTGCGTGAAGAAGGTTGACAGGCACTATAGCGATGGTACTTTCTGACTCGGTACAGTACAGAGAGGACGATGAGTAGCTTGGTTGGAGCCAGTACGATACCAAGAGCGTTCAGGAGGATCCGGAAACATCTTGATGACCTGCTTGAGCTGCCAATCACTCATCCTTTGTATTGATGGACTGGGGAAAATCTTGTGGGACAAGTGGCCCACTGGACAGTATTTGCATTCCCTGTCCCATCTAAGAACTTGAAGCTCCATGAAGATGAGAAGAAGGAATATATGAAGGAGTGAACAAAATAAAGAGTGGCCTTAGGAAAACATGACTTTTATATTCCCTCACTTTATAAACTGGCTTAAGGCCAGAGGAGTGTGTGCAGATGTGTGTTTTTGTGTGTGCGATTGAGTGTGAGTGTGAGTATATGAAAATCTTTATGTAATCCGTTCATTTACTTCTCTCACGTTCCTGCTCCAAAACTTTTCTTCTGCTGGTAGGGGTGTATCCTGTATAATTGTGTCTTAGAAAATAAACGTTGACCTTACTGTACTGTTCTTGGTAGCTGAAAAACGTTTGACAGATGTACAACAAAAGTTATTGATTTTTTTTTATTTCCCTTTGATTTTTTCCAGTATTTTTTAAAAATGTTACGTAATTATTTTTTCACAGTATATCAGAAATAAAAGCACTGTTTTTCTAAGAATCAATGAAGTATTGAATGCGTGGTTTATATACAGTATTTATACAGTTTATTGTTCATTCTTGGGTTAGGGAAAATGTTTCCTAGCACTAGTTTAATTAGAAATTGGTGACAGCAACAGTAAAATAGGGAGAAAAATATGACAACATTATTGTTTACGGGAACGCATACAATTTTCATGAATGTACAGTAGTAATATAGACCCAATATTAATACAGTTTTTAGAGAAAGTTCCTTAAGGACCTGTCCACTATATATATATATATACTGTATACACATACACATACACATACACATACAAATATATTTATTGTTCATTCTTGAATTAGGGAAAATGTCTTCTAGAATTAGTTTAATTAAAAATTGGTGTCAGCAACAGTAAAATAGGAAGAAAAATATGAGAACATCGTTTATAGGAACACATACAATTTTCATGAACGTAGTAATATAGGCCCAATATTAATACTGTTTTTAAAGAAAGTTCCTTAAGGACCTGTCCACTACACATACACAAGAAATATAGTCAAATCCATATTATGAAATATTATTACAATTTAAAATAAATGTTTTCCTTTTAAACACATTTTAAAATGTAATTTATTCCTGTCATGTTAAAGCTGAATATGCAGCAATCTTCAATGTCACATGATCCTTCAAAAATTATTCTAATTCCTGATTTTTTTGCTCAAGGAACATTTACTATTATTATTATTATTATTATCAAAGTTAAAACAGCTGTGCTGTGTTTTTGTGGAAACTATGATACATTTTTCAGGATTCTTTGAGTTCAAAATAACAGCATTTATTTGAAATAATAAAAATATGTTGTAACGTGATGAATATCTCTCCTGTAACTTTTGATTAATGTATCTTTGTTGAATAAGGTTATGAATTTCTTTAAAAAAAATTTTTTTTTTACTGACCCCAACCCTTTGAATACTGGTGTGTATAGAGCTGTCTGCAATAAATATATAATTACATACAACATTACACAGTATCTGCAATATACATAATTAACTACAAATATCACTAACATTCATACTAGTAAATGTATAAAAATGTACCATGTATCATGCCAATACCATGTTTACCACAGTATTTGTACTGCACTTGAAAAGCACGCTGTGACCGGATCACTGATTCAGTGAATTGAGCTCAAGAGTCGATTCGTGAATGAAGACGATTTGTTTGATACATGGAACCGACTCAAAAGAACGATTCGCTCATGAACATCAAAAAACAGCGATTCTTCAGAAAGATTGTTTGTGGATGATGGCTAAATATTTCACTTTAAAACAACTATTTCCACATTGGAAGCTGCATCTATCAATCAATAAAACTATAACTGCTGAGTCGACTGACACCTAGTGGCTGTTTGTGCGTAGTTATAATACGCACTGAGCCTTGAGTTTAAACCTCCTACAGGCAGGTGGCGCCAGAGCCGCAGTAAAATAATCCACCGTAAAGACTTCTCCACAGAAGCAGCAGCCAGGGTGACAGAAGGGGAAGATGGCGGCGACAATGTTGAGGTCGCTCTCCAGACTCGGACGTCCTTCAGTCATATTAAACAATAATGTCAGCACTCCAGCCTGTGCTGTGCTTCAGAAGAGGTACACACATTATAGTCGTCAATGCTGTGTAGTTAATAAATGGCTCTAGTTAGTTAGCGGCTTGCTAGTGGCAGTGTTATTGGGATTAGATAACCAGTGTTTTTTTTCCTGCGATTTTTTTTAACAAGCATAGAAATATACAGTATTACTAAACTATTCTTTTCAAATTCTAATTATTGCACGACAATATTTGTCAAAATCTTGTCCCTCTCCACCAATGTTTTGATGAACTGCCTAAAAAGAGCATGAAGCTGGTTGAGATGTGAAACATTAGCAGTAAAGAAACAATTAACAATTTCACTTATATATCATGGATTTAAAATATACTTGCACATGTGCACAATTTGTTTTGAAATTTCCACCAACGCAAACATCTCAACATCTGTAGATAAAGTGGGCCAGAAAAAGTACTGAAGCCACGCATGAAAATGTATAAATGTCATTGCATTAAATAACAAAATATCAAACCAAGAAATACAGCACAAGCACCATTTTCTAGTAAGCATTTCACTCGAACATGTTTTGTTGGTGGTGTTTGAAACAATTAATATAGAGTTAAGAATCGAATAATTACTTTTTAAAGCCATTCTTAAAGCTGCAGTCCATAAGTTTTGCCTCATTGTCGCCATCTCTGTTTGAAAACCTGCAATTGTAGCTGTTTGCAGAATTATCTTCCTTGCCTGGGTTGTGCTCCAGCGTGGATGAATTACTGATGGGAAGTCCGGCTCTTTTCAAAGATTCGGCTCTTTTGGCTCGGCTCCCTTAGAAGAGCCGGCTCTTACGGCTCCCAAATGGCTCTTCATTAGTATCACTTCTAAATGAGCCTTCTATTTTAGCCCAATTTAGAAATTGTGAATGGTTTGTGTGTTGGTAAACAATTTTTTATTCTGTGTTTTTATAATAGCCTTATTTTTATGCGTTTTTTCGTTACAAAAAATACAGTTACTATTATTTAACATTTTTAATAAAACTTTAATTGAACAATTGAACACAGAACCACAGCAAACAAATCAAATAAATAAATGCAAATGTCTTAACATTAAGACACTTTAGTCTTTATTGCAGGTTAGCATTCAGAGATATCAGATGCCTCAGCTTGGGTGTGCTGATGCGATTTCTCCTCTCTGTGATTATTTGTCCTGTTTTTGAGAAGACTCTATTAGTATCACTTCTAAATGAGCCTTCTATTTTAGCCCAATTTAGAAATTGTGAATGGTTTGTGTGTTGGTAAACAATTTTTTATTCTGTGTTTTTATAATAGCCTTATTTTTATGCGTTTTTTCGTTACAAAAAATACAGTTACTATTATTTAACATTTTTAATAAAACTTTAATTGAACAATTGAACACAGAACCACAGCAAACAAATCAAATAAATAAATGCAAATGTCTTAACATTAAGACACTTTAGTCTTTATTGCAGGTTAGCATTCAGAGATATCAGATGCCTCAGCTTGGGTGTGCTGATGCGATTTCTCCTCTCTGTGATTATTTGTCCTGTTTTTGAGAAGACTCTATCTGAGGGGACCGATGTTGCAACAATGCAGTCTTCCTACCTTAACCAACACGCTTGCGTTTAAAGGGGTCATTGGATGCAAAATTCACTTTACAAGTTGTTTGAACATAAATGTGTGTTGGAAGTGTGTGTACACATCCATCCTATAATGATAAAAATCCACCCAGTGTTTTTTTTTTTTTAATCCCTATTTTAAAATCCCCTTTCTCAAATCAGGCTGTTCTGAGATTCCTGTCAGAATGACGTAGTTCTGCACAGGCCCCTCCCACGATAGTTGATTGACAAGTCCGTCTTATCTTAGACCTGTCTTGAGTAAGCTGTCATCAGTTGTGTCGACTACAATCGGAGACATTCTTGTCTTCCCCTACATTGTGTCGACTACAGTGCAGGGGAAGACAAGAATGTCTCCGATTAAACGATTGCGATGTTTTGTTGTTGGATGTAATAATGAATATAAGCAGTCGTCATTTACTCCCGACATCTGAGCCGCTGAAGACGCAGAGGATTAACATTACTTTCGTTTTGAAGTGAATGCGCCAATCCCGATCTACCTAAATGCGTCTATGTTCGCAAAAATCATTCGTGATCCAGCCTCATCAACAGAAGAAGTGAGTATAAGGGTCATGGACTAGAATGGCTTGCTGAAAACAGAGTTGATTTTGACGGTAAAAAAAAAGGCTCTTCCCGGTCACTACAAAGAATCGGCTCTTAGAGCGAGTAGTAGTATAAGCGAGTAGATTTCAATTTCTGTACGGTCTAATCTCTAATTGTCATACCACTCGAATTTCATATTAAGAAATGGGGTGGTTGATTGCGTCTTTTAAAATGATGGCAGTTTAATGCCTACAAAAATGGCTCGTAGGGACTACGAGTTACTTCCCGGGTTTGTGACGTCACCCTGATAAACCCCGGCCCCGGGAACACGCAATGAAGGGGACAAGGCCATGCTGTGCTGCTTTAGAGAAGAGGAAGAGAAAACTAGAGGTGCATGTAAAAATCTATTCATATATGAAACACGATTCTGTCTTCTAACGATTCTAATGGATTCACAAGTTTCAAAATCAGTGTTCTAAAGCAGCAGTTCTTAATACTGTTCCTCGCGTCCCCCTGCTCTGCACACGCTCTGCATCTCTCTCTCGCTCTCTCTCGCTCTCTCTCTCTCATTCAGATCATCAGCTCAGCTCTGTTCCATTTATACACTTATTTTCACATAGCTATGAGAAGCGTTATACATAAGCGTGCAGTTGCCGTACTGTATTAAACCTTGAATCAGCTTTAAATAAAACCGTATATTAAAAGCTTACAGAAGCAGTAGCATTCACAAATAACAGCGTATCTAAAAGTAAGAGACAACAACAAACAAACATACCATTAAGAGCTGTGCTTCAGCTCAGGGTCCATCGCATATTTCTGAGGAAGGGGCTTCATAAAAGCAGGAAATGATCAGCGCGTTTATCAGAGAAGGGATAGAGCGGTGAAGAATAAAGGTAAATTATGTGGAAAAATAATGCGTTAGCATGTTTTGCTCAAACTTTCGCCATGGCATTAGAGCAGGTACACCGTTGTCGCTTGCGAAATCAAAATGACGGCGCCGTGGGACAAACTTACAGATTAAGGGGCGGTAATATTATAATGAGATCCCTTTGCAACGTCACTAGGGGAGCGAAGTCAGACGCGCTCGTTTTTTCAGACGCTTTCAGAAAAAGGCTTACCAAAACAAAGTAACTGGGTTAATCTTTTTTATGTTTCCTTGGTTGGTAGATGCACCGGGGGACCTGATTATAGCACTTAAAACCTGGAAAAGTCAGATTTTCATGATATGTCACCTTTAAAAAACGAAGCATGAACACATGTTAGACTGCACCCCATAAACAATCAAGCCTAGAACAAAACCAGTCAACCACCCCTTTAAAAATGAATTTTATTGCATTAGATAATTGATACATTTCAAGTGTCGCTTGCAAATATTTAGTGATGCCACTGTGTAGAGTACATGCTGACACCTTGTAACTTGCAAATTCATGTCTTATTCTTGAAGTTTGAGCAGATATCTGTGTGCATTTTGTATGCAAGTCAATGACCCAACAGTGTTTTTTCCTCTTCTGTTCAGGCTGAAGCAATGGCAGCCAGATGTGGAGTGGGCAGAGCAGTACTCTGGAGCTGTGATGTATCCCAGTGTCATCACTGAGAAATGGGCACCTCCACCTTGGAACGGTTGGTTTCGTTTTGGCCTAGTGACTTCTATATTTACAGTTCGACCAACCACGATATCAAAAACATCTTCATCTTTTTCAGATAAGGACCCACCAGCAGAGAAAGAGGTTTCCAACCTCACTATCAACTTCGGGCCTCAGCACCCAGCGGCTCATGGAGTGCTGCGTCTGGTGATGGAGCTCAGCGGAGAGTCAGTGAAGAAATGTGACCCTCACATCGGCCTCCTGCACCGCGGCACTGAGAAACTGATTGAGTACAAGACTTATTTACAGGTACTTAAAAACTACAGACCCTAATGGATGACACTATATTTTTAAATGCTTACTATATAAATACATTTAACTTCAATAAATTGCCCATACTCTTAAAAAGGTACTGAGGGCTGAGCTGTATAAACAATATAGAACAACCTTTAGTACCTTAATGCTTGGAATGAAAGAAACGATAACTACTTAATAACTAAAAATATTAAAAACAGTTTAAGTGCTGTGCTTTCACTTGAAAATATAGTCCCTTCTATGTAACATAGAGTTAATAGTTTGTATGGGTGCTGCACCATGATATACACATTAACTGGTTATCAAGTGTTTTGTGTCATTGCTGCTATTATACTGTGAATTCATACATAGCTGAGAAGCTGAAATATCCTTTTCATACTGCATCTATTTTGTGTTTTGCTGGGCTTCATAGGATTGTGTGCTGTTAGACTGGTGCTTCCTTAATGGAATCATTGCATAGTAGTGCAAAAATACCTTCTGATCTAATTTCAGTTCTGTTGCTCAAATAGTAGTGTATTTGAGCTATTGATAAAATGTATACCTTTAATGTGATGTATGTCACTGTGGATAATAGTGTTTGCAAATACATTAGGTTAAACTTAAATTTCAGAAATGTTATGCTTCACATCACAAACTCATGACTGTCTTATGCAGGGCTTTATTATAAACTGTGCTGTTATATGAATCACTATGCTTTGTGCTGTTGTCTGCGATGAAGCATTATTTGCTGTAATGCTGTCTTGTGTGTTTGTGTTGCTGCAGGCACTTCCATACTTCGACAGGCTTGACTATGTGTCCATGATGTGTAATGAGCAGGCATATTCTCTAGCTGTAGAAAAGCTTCTTAACATTCAGGCTCCACCACGTGCACAGTGGATTAGAGGTGAGGAACAATAACTAAAATGCTTTCGATCTGGTTTACGCTCATCAATCTTAAATTAGAGTAAATGTGCTTAAAAAAATCCCCTAAATTGCATTGAAAGATGTTGCAATTACACAATTGAGATTGCAGGGATATTTTACTTTGAATGTATCTAATTGGCTTTACCAGCTGCATAAATCTATTACTGTATTTGACCTTTGCAGTGCTGTATGGAGAGATGACCCGTATCCTTAACCACATCATGGGCATCACCACCCACGCCCTTGACATTGGAGCCATGACCCCCTTCTTCTGGATGTTTGAGGAGAGAGAGAAGGTAACAACTTTCTATTGCACTTAGTCAAACAGAAAAACAAATAGAAGTTAAATATGCGTTTTGTTGGACATTTAAATGTTTGTTGAAAATGCTACATGTAACACATAACAATGTAGACAACTATACAGATAAGTGAATCTATAGACTGTGCTTTTGTTTTACTTCACAATCTAAATAAGTGGTCGGGAACCTTTTTTTTCTTTTTCTTTTTCGTTTGTGTTAATGTATTTTCCCAAAAAATCTGAAAGTGTTTTTAATCACAATCATGATTTTTATGTGAAAAATCAAAATGTTTTCCCTCCGAAATCGCAGCCCTATTATTGAATATTTGTGTGGAACCTAGTTACCATTGAATTAGTTGATATCTTGCAGATGTTTGAGTTCTATGAGAGAGTGTCTGGAGCCAGGATGCACGCTGCATACGTCAGACCCGGTGGAGTTCATCAGGTACGCTTTGATGAAGCCAGTCTTTCTTAAATGAAAAGTATATTCCTGGTTATGCTGAAATGTTATAACTTAGTTTAATATCATCTCCTAATAACCATAAATTTTTTTTTTTTTTTTTGCAGTTGAGGAGGTATGTAGACCAAAATGCAAGCCGTTTCAGTCAAGAATAGTGCTAGTTGATGTTAAGTATAAAGTGGGTATAGAAAAGAATCACCCCCTTTAAAATAATCACATTTTGTTGCTTTGCAGCCTGAAATGAAGACGGACACAGTTTTTGTTTTATCCAGCTGTATTTACTCAGTGCAACTTACAACATCCATAATTTTGCACATCTAGACTTTGCAATATTTGCCCACTCTTCTTTGCAGAACTGCTCAAGTTCAGTTCAATTTGATGGTGAATTTCAATGGGGTTTAAATCTGGGCTCTGACTAGGCCATGCAAGGACATTCACCTTTTTCTCCTTCAACCACTGTGTGCTCAGTTTTGCTGTGTGCTTTGGGTCATTGTCATGTTGGAAGGTAAACCTTCTTCCCATCGACAACTCTCTGGCAGAGGACAGCAGATTTTCCTCAAGAATTTGACGGCATTTTGCCCCATCCATTTTTCCTTCTATCCTGACAAGTGCTCCAGTCCCTGCTGCAGAGAAAATATACTCCCCCAAATAATAACAGGATATTACCACCTCTGTGCTTTACTGGAGGAATGCTGTTATTTGGATGGTGAGCTGCCAGTTTCCTCCCGGTTCTTTCATCCAGTTTGGAGCGATGTCCTGATCCAGGGGAGGGTCTGTGTTGTACAAAATACCTTCCACTTCTTAATAATAGACTTCACAAATGACCACAGCTTAGTGATCATATAGATGGATGTTTCTTTTTCAAAATGCATGCATTTTCAATTTGATTGGAATAAATGGAGTTTCTAAATGAATATGATGTTGTTTCAGATGCTGACCAACAATCGTATCTGGAGGAACAGAACTGTTGATATCGGTGTAATTGGGGCAGAGGATGCACTCAATTATGGATTCAGGTAAAACATTGTATTATTATGAATTGAATCTGATTGGTCAGAGCTGCAGCTCAAGTATCTCGCTCTCTCTCACCCAGAAGTTGCTATAGTAGATGAACTATCTGACAGTAAGCAATGGAGCAAAAGCATCTTTATGAGTAATTTATAAATCAAACCCAAACGGGACTTCTAACAGAAGTGAAGTCATTTGCAGTCTTTGTGTGGTGAGATTTAGTCATCATCACCGTAGCTTACCTAGTGAAATCACCCACAAGTGCAACACCGTAATTAAAAGAGATTTGAATAAGTTGACCAGAGTACTGGATGTTGATGTGTCAGATTGTCAATAATGTGTGTATTATTCCTCCTTCAGTGGAGTAATGCTCAGAGGTTCTGGTATTAAATGGGATCTGAGGAAGAGTCAACCATACGACAAATACGACGAGGTGGACTTTGACGTGGCCGTTGGAAGTAATGGCGACTGCTATGACAGGTGACCACACATGTTAATGTTTTAGACTGAGTTAAGAGCTTCAGGAAGCTCAGAATGACAGGAAATTGAAATGCGACCACAGGCTATAAATTGGTCTTAGACTTTACTAAGCTTTCTCACCACATATGCTGATAGTATCACAAATGAAGTGAAATGTACACACACATCACATCACAAGTGAAATGTAGTGATGTGTGCGCTTAAAGATAAACTTTGTTGTGAGGACTTGAGAACCATTTATTAATCTTAATATTAATAATAATAATAATAATTGACATTTACTAATTAAAATCAAAAGTCTGTTCATATTATTTAATGGACCTGAGCTAACATGAAATACCAATAAACAGTTATATTTTTATTAACTAATGTTAACAAAGATTAATAAATATTGTAACAAATGTATTGCTCATTGTTAGTTAATGCATTAACTAATGTTAACTAATGGGACCTTATTGTAAAGTGTTACCACAAATATTGCCATGCTGCTTTTATAGTGATATTATCAGTGACAAATATGAACTTTTATTTAGGTATCTGTGCCGAGTGGAGGAAATGAGACAGTCGCTGCGCATCATGCTTCAGTGTCTCAACAAAATGCCTGCTGGAGAGATCAAGGTAGATGATGCTAAAATAGCCCCACCCAAGAGATCGGAGATGAAGGTAAGATATGCTTGCGTATGTATCTTTCATTCAAATGGCAAAAAAGCAGAATAGAAAAAGTTGTTGGGTTCTTTTAAGAGTCAAATAATGCTTTTGACATGCTTGATAAGCTTATTTAAAGGTGCAGGGTGTCATTTCTGGTTTTTCAAACACTCCTCTCATAGTCAAATACATAGTGTTGCCCCAAACTCACGCCATTGGTTGGGCCAGTATTGCATGGTTCAGATGCTCACACATTTTGAAGTACCACAATGTTTTCGAATGGCTTAATTATAATTGTATGTGAAAAGTTATGAGAAATTGTTTCTATATAGAAAATACACACTTCAAGAATAAAGGTTTCAAATGTATTCATGTTTGTGTGCTTTAATGTTGGCTAACTTCCCTCTTATCCCATGACTTGTTTTGGTTTTTTTCAGACGTCAATGGAATCTCTCATTCATCACTTTAAGCTGTACACTGAGGGCTACCAGGTTCCTCCAGGAGCCACATATACCGCTGTAGAGGCACCAAAGGTGAGTGTAATGCACATGAGCATGTGTTGACCAACAATTACATGCACACCATTTCTGTTCTCAAGAGAATTTTTTGCGTTGGCCTCATTGGCAGTTTTCAGTGGTTTTTGGTCATCTTCTCATCCAGCATGGTGAGGTTTTTGGTGAATTTGTAACTGTGCACATGTGGGGAATGTGGGTTTCTAAAGTTGTTGTCTTTGTGGTGCTGTTTTTATTCAGCAATGCTGCATCACCTGAATCTACAGCATGACCAATGTCTGATTTCAGAAATAATGACTCTTACAATCTGGTTATTTTCAGTGAATCAAAACCATACAATGCAACCAGTGTATTTTACTACTGTTTTGTTAAACTTCTACTGAAATCTGAACTGAACTCATCATTTGGACTGATTTTTTAATCTTAAATTGTGCAAGAAAGTCTTAAAGGGGTGGTTCATTTCGATTTCACTTTTTTAAATTTTAGTTAGTGTGTAATGTTGCTGTTTGAGCATAAACAATATCTGCAAAGTTACGAAGCTGAAAGTTCAATGCAAACGGAGATATCGTCTTTTTAAATTCTGGCAGTTTAATGCCTACAAAAATGGCTGGTAGGGACTACAACAAGTTACTTCCCGGGTTCATGACATCACAAACCCAGATAAACCCCACCCTCGGGAAAAGGCAGCAAAGGGGGCGAGGCCATGCTGCGCTGCTTTAGAGAAGAGAAAGAGAAAACTAGAGGTGCATGTAAAAATCTAATCATATATGAATCGCGATTCTGTCTTCTAACGATTCTAATGGATTCACGGGTTTCAAAATGAATGTTCAAAAGCAGCAGTTCTTAATACTGTTCCTCGCGTTGCCCCTGCTCTTCACACGCTCTGCATCTCTCTCTCTCTCTCTCTCTCATTCAACTCAGTTCCAACAATGAACTGTTCCAATTATACACTTATTTTCAGATATTAATGATGCCGTTGTTTACAATACAACCGAAGAACATGCCACTGAGGTAAGGGGCGGGACGATTAGACGCGCACCAGAGGCGGTTTAGCCAATCACAGCACACTGGGCTAGCTAACCAATCATAGCCCATTGCCTATTTCTGAGGGCGGGGCTTCATAAAAACAGGAAAAGATCAGTCCGTTTCTCAGAGTTCCACACAGTCTATTAAGCTGTGTGGAATAATGGTAAATTATTAAAAAAATTATGTGAAAAATATTTTTTTATTTTTTTTTTTAAACAAAGCATTAACACATGTTAGACTGCACCCCATAAACACAATCAAGCCTAGAAAAAACCCAGTGAACCACCCCTTTAATTATGATTTTAAGAGGTCTTAAATTTGGGGACGGAGAGACCAGAATTGCGATATGGCTGAATGTGACGATTAAACTTCAAAAGGCTATGATTTCATTAAATAAATACAAGCGCTGCACGTTCAAAGTCCAGTGCTGCGCTGCTTAGTGTTCTGCTGTTACCGGGGAAGCAGTTATATTTCTACCAAACGCTCCACCTGCTGTCAGAGAATGAATGAGCATTTTCAATAAAACCGTTGTTTTGTTCAGTTCAGACAAATGCAAAAATCGACCCATGATTTTACCCTGCAAACACGCAGAGCTTTAAATGTGAACTGGTGGATCGATAAGAAGACAATGCATTATAAAAATCTAAACAGAATAGGGGTGTGCGATATGTATGGTCTGCGATAATATCGTAATTGTTGTTTTAACGATGTGCAATTTGATATTATCGAGTATATCGCGGAAAGCAAACAAAACACCCACAGATTGCGCGCATACATTGCATGATGAAGTCTAGCAAGTTAGACTAGTGTGCGTGCGCATTTATAGTGTTCTTTCACTGCATGAATCAGTCTATTAAAATGCATTTAGAATGACATAATTCAAGATATGAGGCAGAAAATGTATATATTTATATCATTTCATATAGTTAATATCACACGAAGAGTGCCGTTTTTTTTTCTCCAAAAGTCAGCATGATTACATACAATATTGATTTTATACAACAGTTCAATAAACAAGAAGTTAATATTAAGAGACTTAAGTTTTAGACACCATATTTCCTGTTTTCGCTCTATTTCTCCAACAAAAATCATTCCAAACACAGCCACAGCACTGTTTTGCGTCTCTGAACAACACGACAGTGTTTCGTTCCTGAATGAATCAACCGTTTAAATGATTTGGTTCATTCGCAATGACTCACTTAATAGTGATTTGCTGCCACGTACTGGCAGTTTTAATTTCACATTTAAGGTACCTTTTCATTTTTAAAATAATTTCAAACATCAGTTTTCAATGTTTTATGTTTAAAATATCAAAACATTATTTATGCATTTGTAACTGCAGGTTAAAGTATTCCATGTCCCTCAGAGCTGCATTAAACAGTGTGTAAATACATCTAAATGACACTTCTAATGCACCTTCTGTGTTTCCACTGCATTGCAAAGATCAATTTTGTTGATGCTGATTTCATTTGCTTGGTAACAGCCCAAATGCAAGAATTTGACCCAAAAGATGGTGCACACTTTTAGAAAAAATGGCTTAAAGATAAAAATGCCCATAAAACCTTGTTGGAAATGATTACTTTCTATCACTGCTGTGAACTGACCACACAGAATATGACGAATATAAAAAAATTCAGGAGTCAGCTGTCAGCACAATTAGAGATAAGATATCAGCACAATAACACACTATAGCTAAATATTGTCTAATTATCGTTATCGATAAAATCCCAGAAAATATTGCAAAGATCAATTTTGTTGATACTGATTACATTTGCTTGGTAAAAGCCCAAATGCAAGAATTTTACTCAAAAGATGGTGCACACTTTTAGAAAAAATGGCTTAAAGATAAAAATGCCCATAAAACTTGTTGGACATTTCTATCACTGCTGTGAACTGACCACACAGAGTATGAAGAATATAAAAACAATTCAGGAGTCAGCTGTCAGCACAATTAGAGATAAGATATCAGCACAATAACACACTCAGCAAAATATTGTCTAATTATCGTTATTGATAAAATCCCAGAAAATTATAGAGATATCATTTTTTGTTAATATCGCACACCCCTAATTTGTTATTTAATTGATATAATAATTTATTGATAATAATTGTTTAAATTAATATAACAATTAATACTTTTGATAATATAATAGTTAATACTTTTGACTCATCTATTTTCTTAAAAATGGTTTAAAGGCTGAAATGTAAAGTTTATCATTTCATAAAACTTTGTTTTTGTGAAAACTTGTATCTAAACCAAGTTATGCTTTTTACACTAATTTTACAGTTTAATATGGTACTAAAGACATTGCCCTACCCCGCTCATATGGTATTAATTTTATTTGTGCAGGTCTTAAATTTGAGCTTAAAAATCATGCAGAAACCCTGTAAGGAACTGGTTTTAAGAGGAATCAGAACAAGTGTTGTTATATTATATTCCCATTTCTACTTCAAACTCAGCTGTGTTGTGCTGCAGGGCGAGTTTGGTGTGTACCTGGTATCTGACGGTTCCAGCAGACCTTACCGCTGCAAGATCAAGGCACCTGGCTTTGCCCACTTGGTAATTAATTAATTTTACTATTATGATTTAGTTTTTGTTAATGGATTCACCAATTATAAAATAAGCTTTATAAGTGCATAAATATATAAAAAGAACATACACTACCATTCAGAAATTTTAGGTCAGTAAGGTGTGTTTTTGAAAGAAGATTCTTATGCTCAGCAAGGCTGCATTTATTTGATCAAAAATACAGTAGAAACAATGATATTGTAAAAATGTATTTTAAAATGTAATTTATTCCTGTGATGGCAAAGTAGTCTTTATTGTTTACATGATACTTCAGAAATCATTCTAATACTCTTTAATACTATTCTTGATGCTCAAGAAGCATTTCCTATAATTATCAATGTTGAAAACAGTTGTGCTGCGTAATATTTTTGTGGAAACCATGATACATTTTTTTTCAGGATTCTTAGATGAATGCAAAATGCAAACAAAAAAACCAAAAGCATTTATTTTAAATAGAATTTTTTGAACATTATAAATATCATGAGTGTCATTATTGATCATTTTAATGCTAAATAAAAGTAAGTATCCATTTCTTTTAAAAAAAGAAAATCTACAACTTTTGAACGGTAGTGTATGTAGAACGGCTGCAAATACTGCAGACTTTATCTTTGACCTTTTCCTGTTTGTGTTGTGATGTTGCTCAATGATGTGGTCTGTTTTGTCCTGTTTTTAGGCTGGTTTAGATCAAATGTCTAAAGGACACATGCTTGCTGACGTGGTGGCAATCATCGGTAAGTTTCTCTCTCATTGATACACTTCTCAGTTCTGTCTGTTTTGTAGATTTGCATATCACGGCAATGAACTGCACATTTGTGTGAAGTATTACATTTAAATAAGAGGCCAGTAGCACTATTATATCATAAAATCTTCTCTGTTTTCACTAATTCCCTGTTCTTCTAACTTGTACTGTTCTTAACAATGAATGAAGCTTAGTATTGTTAACACTTCTCATATTATTGCCGCCTTAAGATGAATCGCTGTTTGTATTCCTCATTTGTAAGTTACTTTGGATAAGTAAATTACTTTGTAATTTGATTTCATAGTATTAAAAAAATAATCACATTTTGTTGCTTTGCAGCCTGAAATGAATGTCCGTCTTCATTTCAGGCTGCAATGCAGCAAAATGTGATTATTTTAAAGGGGGGTGATTCTTTTCTATGCCCACTGTAAATAGTATTTTCTAGTAAAACATACTCCAATAATCTGCTTTATTTATAACTTATACAAATATTTTTTACAGTTTATATAATCTTTAATGAATCATTAGTTAATGAACATTTTATATTGTTACAAATGGCATGAAACCTTCATTCATATATTTTAATATTCATGTTTGAATATCTGTTCTGATCTGATTTAAATCTACCATCTGCTCTGTGATTGATAGTTTATACTTTTTTGTGTGTTTTTCTAGTGCTGTCAAACGATTAATCGCTATTAATCGCATCCAAAATAAAAGTTTTTGTTTACATAATATATGTGTGTGTACGGTGTATATGTATTATGTATATATAAATACACACATATACAGTATATATTTTCAAAATATATACTGTATATGTGTGTGTACTGTGTATATGTATTATGTATATATATAAATACACACATATACAGTATATATTTTGAAAATATTTACCGGTATTTACATGTATATATATTTATATTCATATAATTTATATTATATATATATATATATATATATATATATATATATATATTGGCTGTGCGTTTTAATGTAAATATGCATTTACTGTACATTCCTTGCCAAAACCATATTTCTACAGTGCAAGGTAATTTCAGGGTGGTATTGTGATGATTAATAATGACACGATCATGTCAGAGAATTCTGTGTCAAAATAAAATGGGTCAAGCACCATGTGCTGTTTACACCCTTTCAGAAATCACAAAAAATGTCAGTTTTCACCATCATGACAATAATTAAGACATTCCAATCAAGAGGAAATGTTACGAATCTGCCTGGAAGAGGATGTGTCTATATTATACACATTTCACCTCCTTGAACATGAGCTCCATGTTCTATATTTTACCATGAGTCATAAAAGTCTGATGTATCAAATATGATACTTAGCAAAAACACATATGCAGATTTATTATTATTATTAATGGATTATGTCTAAAGGGTCAATGAACTCTTCCATTTCAAAAAAATTAGATTTTTCAGACTATTATTTTATTTTGTCAGGCTTTACAGGGTTAATGCTGTGTGAAAATCTCTGAAAATTAATCTGACATAGGAGAAAATATATCTTTAAAAAATTTAGTGTTTTATTAGTAATTTGATGTTGCCCTGAGCCTCAACCTGTTGTCTTTTTCCACAGGTACTCAGGACATCGTGTTTGGTGAAGTGGACCGTTAAGGACACCAGTGTCTGATCATGATTCTGTCTTTGAGATCCATTCTAGTGATGTTATGACAGAAGTTACTCTAATTTCTCTATTTAAATGCTTATGAAACCGAATAAATATTTTAAAACCTGGAAAAACCTCAAATTCTGTTTATTTAACATTACAAGAGCTGGTCGTAAAAGTGCGAACTTGCACGTAGATTTCATGCAGACAATTTTTTTTTCCAAGGATCAGCAGTCTAAAGCAGATCACATGATTTTCGGCTCTTTTTCCTCTTCGTCACTCAGGGTGGGGGTGGTTTAAACTTCAGATCTGACATATTTTCACCACAACTTCCCTCTTGTCTGCCTCTGATGTGCAGTTTTACATCTGTTCACTGAAAGTCGTCTTTGGAGGTGTGCATCCCGTGAGGTTGTACGCAGAAGCAAAGCCAAGTTTTTATGATGATGATGATGATGAAGGTGGGGTTGCCCATCTCTCTTCTTTCTATTTGGCTCAGCTTCGGCAGTGCTGGTAAGTGTTAAATGTTAGCGCTCTTTATCGCAAGCGAACGCTGTGTTTTGCGTGCTGTTACGTTGATACCAAAGTTACAGGTTTACATTTACATTATCAACTCATTTAGGTTTTCAACTTCAACTCTAAGCTGCTTTTTCATCTTGAAAATATACTGAATAAGTGTAATAATTTTGAAAATGGCAATTAACAATTGTAAATGTATTAGGTTGACTTTCCCTTTTTAGGGAAGGCCTGAAGGCTATTCCAATTTTTTTTTTTGTTTTTTTTTTTTTTTTTTTTTTTTTTTTTTGGTATGTAACAAACGAAAACCTTGCGAGAACAGTGGAAATGTATCTTTTCATTTTATTTATTTAACATTTTATTTATTTTTAGTTTTCAGTAGTAATTTTGTCTGCTAAACGTGAAGATTAACACATTATGCTTCCTCAGAACTTTGTTTTTGTTCATAAATTATGAAATAATGTCACTAGGAATGTGCGCTCTGATCACATCTTGAATATGGAAGTATGCAGGGATTTTATAAAAGGTTTTTATTATGTATTTTGAAAAAGCGTACAAAATGAAGCAAGGGATGTTTAAAAATCCAATGCGCATCTATGTAAATGTTACAATCCAGCAATCATAAAAGTCTGAAGTGAGCGCCTTGGTTAGTCAACATCTATATAAAGTTCACTTTTCACATTTCTTGTTTTCACAGTCCTTATATCTGAACTTTGATGTTGGAAACTTTGTTGCCAGGAAGTAGCCTCTTCTCATTCTGTCAACAAAGCTTAAACCACACAATAGGACTCCATAGTACAATTACAACTACTTAACCAAAGCTTGCAAACAGATGAAATGCACAAGTAACATTTTTCACCATATTCACATTGACTGGTGCATGTGAAACCAGCGCTACTTCTTAAATTTAGGTTGTGGCTATATGAGTTTTGCTGGTCCACTTCTCTTCTGCATCTCTGTAAATGAGGATGCTATATACATTGAACTAAACAACAGGGTTTAAGGTTTTATGAGCTTTTGTAGTGTTTTCTATTCTTTATTTCTTTTTTTTATGCTTTAATTCTCATAGATAAAAATGTGGTTGAATGGATGCTAAATCGAAGTTCTCTGATGCAACACGTTTTTGGCATCAAGATGAGATCATGCATTTTGATCAACCAACAGTATTTTTGTCAACATGTTGCACTATAATGAATCCATTAAACCCCAAGCTAATAAAACACAATGTGTGAGTGTAGTTTAATACATAGTCACACGTCTCTCTGTTTTAGATTATGCAGTGCTGTATTTTTATTTTTATATATATATATATATATATATATATAGTAACTGGTTTCACTGTAAGCATGCGTGCGGTCAGTGGACTTGTGTCTGCAAATTTACATGAAAAGAGAAGTAGCACTATTCTTAAGGGGGTCTGAATACTTTCCGTACCCACTGTATAGTAACTGGTTTCACTGTAAGCATGCGTGCGGTCAGTGGACTTGTGTCTGCAAATTTACATGAAAAGAGAAGTAGCACTATTCTTTAGGATATGATACTAGGTGAGAAACATCACACATGCACTTGCTATTTCTCTAAAACTTAAGCACATTATTTAGGCATTAGTCTCACAAAAGCCTTTTTTTTTTTTTATATATCCGTGGCTTTTTTGCTACATTTTCTGCGCATGTAATTAAAAATGATTGATTATTAAAATAAGTATTTAACAAATATTGTCCAATGATTGTCTTTAATGTTGTGTATTGATTGTCTGATAATTAAAATTTGTTTATAGTTTAAACACAAGTGATGTCTTATCTTTCATGCTGTATAAACGTTATAAGATCATCACCAATGCTTTGATACAATTCTAATGATGTGATGCATCAATTTTTGCAATTAACTAATAACGACAAATTGACAATTTACAGCAGATAAAGAGTTTATGCACTAGTCCTATGTAGGAGAGACCTATAAAACGGACTCATGGACCATTTTGTGTAATAATAAAAAACATATTTTCAGTGCAAGTAATTTTTGTAAAACTGTAGCACAATATGTTGAGGTTTTTTCTTTTCCTAATTAGCTTCATTTTTTTTAAGATGCGATGAGTTTGAAAGAGACGAAGATATGCTACATCTTGGACGCGGTACTGTTCATCTATGGGATTGTTCTCACTGTCCTGTACTGCAGAATGAAGGTACTGTATATATATATATATATATATATATATATAATTCATTTGAATAAATTGAATTTGTTTAAAACTAGTCTAAATCTCATACAACATGCCTGATTTGAGTGTATGTCATCCTTAAACTATTTGGTAAACGCTATTAGATTTAAGCTATTAATTTTATTACAAACAATATCTTTGTCTTATATATACAGGGGCTGGACAAAATAATGTGAATGCCTGGTAAATAGGCAGTATTTTTTATTAAGGCGTTTTGCCACCATTTGCCTTTAATACAGCTTCCAACATCATTAACAGATTCATACAGCTTTGTAATGGTCTCCATTTGATCTGCAGATGTGTTGGAGGAGGGAATCTGTGTCTAACTTTTCTCTTTAAAACTGTCCACATATTACAGACAAAGAAAAGATAATCACAGTGTTTGTCTATCACTGTTGTCTACAAATGATAACCTCTATATAAATGGGTTTTCACATTATTTTGTCTACACACACAAATATATATATATATATATTACACACATTCTTCTGTAATGTAATATATGCATAAACATTATTATTATTATTCATTTATTTAATTATTCATTCATTGGCAGATGCGAAGTAAACAATCAGAAAGCTATTCAGGGGTAAGACTTTATCTATCTATCTATCTATCTGTCTGTCTATCGATCTAGTTTTGCATATTATATCTTTTTCAGAAAACCCTTATAAAATTGAAAAAATAAATAAATAATGAAACTGCTAGAAACAATGTGCTGTAACGTGCGACGTACAAAACCAGCTGATGGCCAGTGCATTCTGAGACCAGCAAATTACATTTATGTGTGTTAACGATTACTATCCTTAAAGTAACCCAAATGTGAGCAACATAAATTTCATAAGACTCAATCTTATTTCCAAAATTATCTGCTTTTGCTAACCGTCCCTCTCCTCCCCTTTCACACTTTTACATCCTGTCTTGAACTGTGTGATGCCTTTTTAAAAATGATTATATGTGTGTCTGCTTTTCAGCACGAAACCTTTCACACAATGTATGTACTCTGCCTGTATGTGGCCTTTTAATGTTTTTCATAATTGACACATTACGCTATATATACACTCTTAAAAATAAAGCTTCCAAAAGAGGGTTTTTGCAGGATGCCATAGAACAATAATTTTCGGTTTCCCCCCCAAAAAAACTTTCAGTCAGCAGTTTCTTAAAAGAACAATTTTTTTTGTTAGTGTGAAGAAATTTTCTGAAATCTCAAGAACTTTTTTTTTTACTACAAATGACTTTTTGTCCAGTGGAAAGGTTCCATGGATGTTAAAGGCTCTTCACAGAACCACAGATGCGAACTAAACACCTTTATTTTTAAGAGCGTAATATGATAAAAGAATACTGTTTGAACGTAATTTGACCATATGTGACGCATGACACTCATCTTTCAAAAACCTCTGAAGCCCTGCGCGTACACATTTCTTTTTTTGTGAGTGTTTGTATTGTTACAGGCTTTCTAATGTGTTTTTTTTTCTGATTGTTTACAGAAGAAAGATGCCGGTGAAGGGGTTTATGAGGTATTTTTGTTGCGTTGTGGTTGTTTAATACTCTGCTTAGCCATAGTTTAGACCTTTCTTGTGTGTATGTTTATATTCTTTATTTGTACTTTATTGCGTTCCACTGTATGATCATTGAAAGATACACAAAAACTGGTTAACAGACACACTAACATCATTTAACCATATATATATTTGAATATATGTATACATATATTCACACACACACACACACACACACACACATATATATTATTCATTTATATTACCACATATTATTCATATTATTAAGCAACTCTTCGAACGCAAAAGAATATTTAGATGCAGTATAAGATGCTGTTATATAGTAAGTACTGTAGTGATAACATGCAGCAATTTCATAGCATTTAACTGATGTACATTCAATTTCTGAAGCCTTGTGGTTGATCTGGTGAGCTTCAATTGAAATGGCGCTGACTCTCTGCCACATCCGTTTTGTCCTTCTCTCTCCTCCACACCTCAGGGTCTCAAGCCTCACGATCAGGACACATATGAGACCATCAAAATGAAAAAAGGAAATAAATAAGACTCGAAGCAAAAGGAGAGAAGCAAGTTTCTGGACTTAATACCACTGTCATCTTAAGCATCTACCTACTGTAAATAAGCTGTCAAACAATTACAAGAAGAATATGTTTTGTTTATACTGTAATAACTTTTGTTAATCACTAACATCAGGCTTTTTGTTTGCTGTTTGTTTGGCAGACGGACTCCAAATAGAGATAATTAAATAATCAAACAGAATGCCAAAGGAACATGTATTTTTGTATGATCATTCTGCTGGTTTAATCATTTAAATGTTTTTTTTTTTTTTAATGAATGTATTTTCCTGTTCGCCTTAAAACTACATTTTAAGCTTCTAACATGTATA